AGGGAAAGAAGGAATAATGAATTAATGAACTATTTAAGTCATAGTGTTAAGTGTCGTGATATTATATGAATGGAGCTGAGGAATTCATTTTGTTGTGTCAAAAGTTAAGAGGTATGAGTATAGTGAAATATATTGTAAGGTCCACAATGGAAGAGCAAGTAACAAAGTTTTTACATATAATTAATCACAATGTGAAAAATCAGATCGTTTATTTCTTCTTTCATTGATCTAGAGAGATTGTAAGTCAACATTTTCATAGTGTGTTAAATGCAATAGTTGCATTAGAAGTAAAATATTTAGTTCAACCATTTGGTACAAATGTCCACTTACAAATACTTAACAATAACAAATTTTATCCCTTTTTCAAGGTACCTATTTATACTAAAATGTTATTTTATTTTTATCATATTAGCAACATTTAGATGTTTAGGTAACTTTTTTAAATAAATAATTTTTGGAAAAATGATTGTTTGAAAGTTATATATGATACTCATATATGGGTTAAAGTCTCAAAAGGCAGAAGACTCTCGATATCGAGGCGAAAAAGATTGGTCAATGCAAAATGTATTTGTAACTTGTGATTTCGACATGAGATTCACATAAAGCGGGGTGTGAAGGTACAACATCTAACTCTAGGATATTAAAAGATGCAATAAGTAGGGAAGATCTACCAATAATACTTGAAGGTTAGCTGACTATTCATCGTATATGGTGCTGGATTCAGTTTTTATATCTACCATATATAATTGTTAAATTGCATTTTGTTTATAGGAAAGTATTATCTTGGGGATATGATTTTCATGCTTAAATGTTAGATTATAGTACCATAGAAAGGTGTTCATTATCACTTGAAGGAGTATTCAATTCATGACCCTCAAAATCTTAGAAAATTATTCAACCATCGTCATTCATCACTCAAAAACGTAATAGAGAGATCATTTTATGTTCTAAAAAAAGATTTCTAATTATAGCTAGTGACATCGAACCTCACTATTCATTTAAAATCATGATAAATATAGTAATTAAGTATTGTATTTTACATAATTTTTTATTCAATTTGGATGATGATATTCATTATTAGAAGTTGATCATGAGTTACTACAACGTGAGCTAAATAGATCACAAACACAGCATGATGATTATTACAAGAAAGATTATTACAAGAAAGGAACAAATTTAAGGGACAATATTGCGGAACAAATGTGGATGGATTATCTACATTAATTGTGTTGTTTTATTAATGTTATGAATGTAGTCTTTGTTTTTGGTAGGAATGTTATGTTTGTATTTGACATTGGAACAAAGCTTTTGTTCTATTTCTTTACTACAATAATTTTATAATCATAATCAATAATGTTGTATATTTGTAGGGTACATGATGAGTAAGGGTAAGGAAAAAAGTTGATATTAGTCAACCTCCAAGAGAAACATGGAGATGGTCTGAAGAGATGAACTATCGGGAAATTATTGCAGTGGTTAATGAGGCTAAAAAACAAAAATAGTTTCAACATTGTTTAAATTTCAATTAATGTGCACCAAGAGCCATAAAGAGCTATGCTCGCTCAGCGTGCCTATCTTGTTTAGTGAGCATGTCTCACTTAGCAAGAATAGTTAGAGAGATTTAAGCTTGTTGAGCCATCACATCATTACTCAATAAACCTAGCATGTTTGTAATTGATTTTTAAATTTGTTAAGCACACTAAAATGACCTTGACTGCCTTCCAAGCCATTTGAAATGTGTCTTGTATACTTTAGTTATTGGTTTAGTATATATAGATGTTTGAAACATTTGTAACTCATTTTTGAAAATTAATTAAATGAGATATTCATATCTTGAGAGAGAATCTTCTCTTGATTTTTATTGTAGGGATAAACTTTTATGATGAATTTTTATCAACTCATCAACATGGTAGATTGTGGCATATACTCATCTCTATTCTATTTTGTGTTCTCAAAATTCCACTACATTTTTTGTTCATACTTTTGTTGTTGATTAATAAACTAATTGTTTGAAACGTTCAAAAACTTTCTTTTCATAAATCGAATTGTATAAAAATTTATGATTAAATTATTTTTAAAAGTTATATATATTTTTTTAAAACAAATAACTGCATATGTCCACATATACTTGTAATTTTTTTATTGGAAAAATTCACAAGCATCTAGTACGCAAGTATCCCTTAAATATGAAGAGAACTGCAAACTAAATTTTTAACCAAACAAAAAAACTACTACTTGTATCCATTTTTTAAGTTGATGTTTCTTTAAATCTACAATTTAATTAAACACAATAATAAAATTAGACTTAAATATATTTTTATTTTCTATAAAATAAATTAATTTTGATTTTGATGTTTGTATCAAATTTTCTTTATTTTATTTCTCATTCTTTAAAAGTTAAAATTACTGTTTTAATTTTGATTAATTACTAATATTTAGCTACTAATTATTATTATTTTAGAGGATGAATCCCTTTACTCCAGGAGTAAGTCTACGTAGACTTACTCCGTTCAATAACTCATGTTTTAGATCAACTTTTAATGACCCAACCTTTTAATTTAAAGTTCTTAATGCATAGATGAAATCTGCAAATTTTTAAAAAATTTTAAAATTATTTGATACTTTATTTCATTAATTCAAATTGACAGATAATCATAAAATCTTGAATTAATGAAATAAAGTATCAAATAATTTTAAATTTTTTTAAAAATTTGCAGATTTGATCGATGCATTAAAAACTTTAAATTAAACAGTTGAATCGTTGAAATTTGATCTAGAACATGAGTTATTGAACGGAGTAAATCTAGGTAGATTTATTCCTGAAATAAAAGGATTTGTTTCTTATTATTTTAATTCTTAAATATATATTAATATTATGACTTTATTCTCATAATTTTTGTTTTTACCGATGATAATTTTTTTTTTTTTTTTTTTAATTTAGGACTCATATTACTGCGCATTCAAAATTCCAAGAATGGAAGTGTTCACTCGATCTTAATCGGATGAAGATTTAGTTCACAAAATTGTTGATAACAAAATTTCTGGTCACATAGGTGATGAATTCCCCCCACATTATTATCATACAAATTCTGGTTCTTTTCTTCTTCTAAGCAACAACCATGTTGTTGCGAGACAACCACCGAATAGCGATTCATGGTACAATGTTGAAGCTCGTTGTGCGCAAAGGAATCCCCATCATCACCCACCCTTCATCATTCTCCACATCCACCTCTGACGAACACGTCATCATCATCCACAACCTCACCTCCTCCGCCAACGACTTCGCCAAAGCCACCTTCCTCACCAGACTGCATCTCCAAAACTCAACACCCCACACCCTCTTCCACGCTCTCACCCGCGCCAACCTCACGCCCCGCGCCTTCGCCGTCCTCATACTCGCTTTCTGCCAACTGGGTCTCGTCCACCAAGCCCTCTCCCTTTTCAAAAACCATTCTTTTCTTCCTCCGTTGCAGCCCTGCAACGCGCTTCTCCATGGCCTCGTCAAGACCCACATGTTCGATTCCCTGTGGGAGGTCTACGGAGACATGGTGTCGCGCGGCTTTTCCCCCACCGTTGTCACCTACGGCATTTTGATGAATGGTTACTGCGTACAGGGTGATTTTAGCAACGCGCGCAGGGTGTTCGATGAAATGCTCCAGAGAGGGATTGAACCGACGGTGGTGGTTTACACTATTCTCATTCGCGCGTTTTGCAACGAGGGTCGGATGGGAGAGGCAGAGGGCGTGTTTGGACGAATGAGGGAATCTGGGGTGGTGGCTCCCAATTTGTACACTTATAAGACCCTCATGGATGGGTATTGCAGGATGGGTGATGTGAAACGGGTTTTTGACTTGTATTGTGATATGCTGAAGAGGGAGTTGCACCCTGATGTTGTCATTTTTGCTACTCTGGTGGATGTTCTATGCAAGGTGGGGGATTTGAAGGCTGCGCGAAACTGTTTTGCTTATATGGCCAAGTTTGATGTTGTTCCTAATGCGCATGCTTATAATTCTTTGATTCATGGGTATTGTAAGGTAGGGAACTTGGCTGGAGCAATGCGCTTGTGGGTGGAAATGGAAAAGTGTGGAATCTTCCCTGATGTTTTTACGTACAATATAGTCATCAAGGGTCTGTGTGACTCTGGTAGATTGGAAGAGGCTGAGGGTTTGATGGAGAAAATGGACAAAGTTGGGGTTCTTGCCGATTCTGTGACATACAATGTGGTGATTGATGGGTGCTGTAAAACAGGTGACATGGAGAAGGCTATTGAGGTGTGTTCCCAAATGACTGAAAGGAAAATTGAACCAAATGTTATTACATTTTCGACGCTGATTGATGGGTTTTGCAAGAAAGGAAATGTAAAAGCTGCGATGGGCTTGTACACGGAAATGGTCATCAAGGGTCTTGCGCCTTGCGTGGTAACTTACACGGCGTTGATTGATGGACACTGCAAGGTTGGAAACATCAAAGAGGCTTTCAGGTTGCAAAAGGAGATGCTGGAAGCTGGACTAACTCCCAATGTGTTCACAGTTAGTTGTGTAATTGATGGCCTTTTGAAAGATGGAAGGATACATGATGCAATCAAACTGTTCTTGGAGAAAACTGGAGGTAAAATGGATGATGGTAGGTTTTGTGCTCCAAACAGTGTGATGTATGCCATTTTAATTCAAGGATTATGTAAAGATGGACGGATCTTTAAGGCCACCAAGTTTTTTGCGGAAATGAGATGGAATGGATTCAAACCAGACATGCTAGTTTATTTAACCATGTTGCAGGCGCACTTTCAATTCAAGCATATGATTGATGTAATGATGCTGCATGCAGACATGCTGAAGATGGGTGTAGTGCGAAATACTAACATATATCGTGTAATGTCTAGGGGCTATAGAGAGAATGGATACTTGAAATCAGCTCATATGTGTTCTGAGCATTTAATGGAATGTGGCATTCGGTTTCCTGATTCAGGAGGGTGATGCAGGTTTGGCCTCTTTGACTGCTAGATATATTGACAAAAGATTTTAACAACCGATCTTGAGTTACTGAAATCAAGCATGCCACTGGTTCTTAGTACATTACAAACAATTACTTAACAAGTGATGTTCACTAAGTTATCATTTGCACACATTGTGCTTATTTGGTACTTGACCAAATTGGTGGGGCTCGGTGTGGCATGAACGGGTCTGTTTTGATCATGACCGTAGTAGCATTACTCCAAGACCATTGAGAAAGGCATTGCGACATAAAGGGGACTTGCTTTCCAAGACCTACATGAAGGGGACTTGGGGTGTGTTTGGAAAAAAAAGTTGGGTTGAACGTAACTCAGATATTTTCAATCTATCGGTATTGTGACTTCTCCCTTTGTAGCTTCGAAATGTACGAACTAAGTTTGGTAGATTGCAAATGGCAAACCAAACACACTTGCTTTCCAACTTTGATATGAGAAAGGCATGTTAGCATTGGATCTCTATGGTTTTCTTCTCATCCAAAGAGCACCAATGACAGAGAACTGACATCTTTTTTCACAAAAGTTATCCTGAGGAATGCCCTCGTGAATTTAAAACTAAATACTTGATTAAGTAAAATGGTACTGATCTTAATGCGTATTCACTGAGTTATGCCTTTTTGCATTGTTTTAATTTTGTTTCAAAGTAATAATAGGCACGTTTTCAGCTTTAAAATATACAATTAGCATACCATACTCTCTCCAAACGTCTAACGGTCTAAGGATTAAAATACTTGAAAGCTAATTTAGGTTACACTTATTTCGATAGTAAACACTTCAATTTGTTTTTCTTCTTATATTGTAATTTTGGTGCTTCTATTTTCTTTCTATTTTAAAATAAAAATATTTAGTCTCCTAATTTTATCAATAAAAAATTTTAGGCTTCTCGTCAAATTATTATTGTTAAAGATAAAAACTAAAAAAATGCATAAATAATATTTATTAATAAAATAAAAATTAATCATTTGTTAAAATAAATACAAAGATATTTTGTAAGTTTTTTTTAATTTTTAATTTTTATATATAACATTATTAAATATTACGTTACTTACGTGACAAGCGGTGAAATGTTACCAAACAACTTAAAAATTTAATGATTAGTGAACATCTAATTAATAGAAGTAAAATTTTAATTTTTTTTTCTCTATGAACATCGCTTACACACTATTCCAAAACTGATAACTAATGACTAATCTAAACTTGCGGAGATAACTTTTGTTGATCAAATATTATTTGAGTACCAAGTCAACCCTGTGCCCCAGTACATGTGTTAGAATTCCTAAATTAAAAGACAGTTAAATTTTACATTTTTAAAATAAAAAGACTAAATATTTTTATTTTAAAATAGGACTAAAATTTTAAATAAAAAAAAATAGAAGGAACAAGTATAATTTAACTTTTTATTTTTTATTTTTTAACATTGACGTACATACTGTGCATACTATCTAAATTCTCGTCACTAGCCCGCTAAATTGTGTTTAATTTGAGTTGGTTATATTAGTTTTTGTAATTTACTTTTTGTCCTCAAGCAATATTCGAAATATAAAGAGTGCGACATTCATGGCAGAACCGAAGCCAACATAAGGTCTTAAGGTTGTTGACATACAGTTACCATGGCAGAAGCGAAGCTGTGACATTCATGACACACTTGAAATGGTTCAACACTTTGCTTGGAAGCTGTGCGAACAAGATGGTTCGTAGCCCCATGTCCACGTGGCATCATAATATTAGTCTCAAACCACCAAAGCCAAACGAGAGCCTTAGGAAGCACCTTGAATGCAACAGGCACACCAAGGTGCTCCTCCTCTTCAGATCCTTCCTAAGAAAAAGACCAACTTTCAACTCCATTGATAGCTTTTCTCTGCTATATGCCCTCAAAGCTTCTCCCACCCAAGGAAAACAACTGCACACCCTCATCATAAAACTTGGGTACCAAGCCACACTTCAACTCCAGACATCACTTCTCAAAGGGTATGCTGAATGTGGCAACCTTCTTGATGCACGCCAAGTGTTCGATGAAATACCCTCCAAGAACGTCATATGCTGGACCACCTTGATTTCTGCCTATGTTGGCAACCACAAGCCTGGGAAAGCCTTGCAACTGTTCAGGCTGATGCAGATGAGCAACGTGGAGCCTGATCAAGTCACTGTGACCGTTGCTCTCTCTGCCTGTGCTGAGACTGGGGCGCTGGAAATCGGCGAACGGATCCATGCTTTCGTGCGAAGCAAGCAAGAGATGGATAAGGATTTGTGTTTGGAGAATGCTCTTATTAACATGTATGCTAAGTGTGGGGATGTTGTGACAGCCAGGAAGGTGTTTGATGGCATGAGGAACAAGGATGTCACAACTTGGACTTCCATGATTGTGGGGCATGCAGTACACGGGCAAGCGCGCGAGGCTCTACGACTTTTCTCAGGAATGAGCACAAGGATGGAGGGGGATGATTGGAATTCGCGAAGCTGTGTCATGAAACCGAATGATGTAACGTTCGTAGGGGTTTTAATGGCTTGCAGCCATGCAGGGTTGGTTGAGGAAGGGAAGTGGCATTTCAGAAGTATGAGTGAAGTTTATGGTATAGAGCCAAGAGAGGCTCATTTTGGCTGCATGGTGGATCTTTTATGCAGAGGTGGGCATCTCAGAGAGGCCTATGACTTCATTATGGAGATGCCAGTGCCGCCAAATGCGGTTTTGTGGCGAACCTTGCTAGGGGCTTGCAGTGTTCATGGTGAACTAGAGCTGGCTGCAGAAGTGAGGCTCAAGCTACTGAAGTTGGACCCTGGCTATGTGGGTGACAGTGTTTCTATGTCTAATATTTATGCAAATAAAGGCATGTGGAATAAGAAGATAGGTGTTAGGAATCAGATAAAACAGTCAAGAGCTCCTGGTTGCAGCTCCATTGAGGTGGGAAGTGGGGTTAGTGAATTTGTTACCTCAGATGATGATCATCTTTTAGTGACAGATAAGCGATGTTCTTGAGCATTTGAGCTGAAGCATGAAAGCTTATATGGTTACATACTAAGCACCCATGAAGGGTAGCATAAATATACCAGCAAATTCAGCAAAGCTGTTTGTTTCCTTTCTGCTCCAATGCCCCCGGCTCAACCCATCCTTGGGTAAAACTAGAATAAAAACCAACTCAGACATTCCAAACACAAAGTTTTACTAACTTAGATCTCACAAATGTGACCAATTCAACTGTGAAGTTTAGTATATGGGTAAAAATTAAAGTTATGTATTCACGAGTTTTATCAGTAAATTTTTATTGACCACCGATCCATGAGTGTTTTTCTCATTTTTATGTTTGTTATGTTTATGGCAATATTGCATTCTTGTTAGAGGTTAGACCAAAGTGTGTGGTTGTATTATAGATAATTCTTGTTCTCTCTAAGCAAGAAAATTTTATATTTTGTACTTTTGAATGTTTATAGTTCAACTAGTTGTTTTATATCTAATAATTTATTTTAAAAAATTTATACTCTGTTTATATTAATAGTAATTTATAAATAACTATGATAATATTTCTTTTTCAAAAAAAAATGTACAAACGTTTTTATGATAAAATAGTTAATAAATTATTATACATAGATAAGATATTTGTTTCAATATTAATCCAGGCTTAATTTAATATTAAAGAATAAATTATGTAAATATTATAATATTAACATAATTCAAAATAATTATAAATACATATTAAAAATTAAAATATAATAGTATTAATGTATAATTGAAAATAGTTACATTAATTAAAAATTAGTCAAACTAAGGATATATTGAACCTAAATGTAATTACACACATGCTACAATGAATAATTGATTATATAAAGGAACGTTGAAAATTATTTTCCTTACCACTTTTCATCAATTGTATTATTCATTAATATATCTATTTAAAAAAAGTATATTTTTCATGACTTAATTTATTTCTCAATATACTCATTCATGTGATATAGGCCAACTTACAACTTACGAGTTTAATAAAAAAAATGACGATAAATTTCTTAATGTAATTCGGTGATGCAGTGACATATGGTAATAATGAATGGATATTTTTATAATAACTATTAACTAAATTAATTTATTATTATATAATTAAAATTGATACTACAGTGCTTATGTGTCTAATTAAATTGCATTAGAAATCCTTTCATACAAAATCTCATGCAAATCGATACTGCACTATAAGATGCATTAGAAATTTCCATCAAAACCATAAAAAACAAATATACTCAATAAAATTATATAAACAAAGAATTGATTTAACTCAATCATTATTCAACTGAAATTCAAAATATGTGATATTCTTCAACTTGTAAAGCTTAATAATCATTATAATGGGTGCAATATTACTATGATTATTTATCTCGTTACATTTCTTCATCATAATATTTCCATAGTGTACAAATTACTTTGTTATACCTATTCAAAATAACCACAAAAAGATATTACAACGTGTATTTTTTTTAATTTTTTTTTTGCTACATTTAAAACATTGTCTTACTTTAAATCACTCAAAACAATTTCAATTCTTTTGTTTATCTTTCCATCTCTTTCATTTTGCCTAATGTCGTCGTTCTCCATAACATGACCAATAACATCCGATAAATAAGACTTACCAATGAATATAAAATATAAAATAATATATAAATATGAATTAAATATAATGATAATGAAAAGAAAATTAGTTGATCAATATATATATATATATATATAT